GTAGGACTCTCTGGCTAAGTGGACGCAGAGTGGGAGGGGGAGCGGGCACAGGGTGGGGAAGCACGTTCTGTCCAGGCCCCACCGCAGGCCTGGGGTAGCGCTGGGATAGAACCCGGATCTGAGTGCCTGCTGGCCTCGGTAGCAAGGCCCTGCCTTCATCTGCCTCTCTAGCAGGAGGGGCCCTTTGAAGGTGTGAAGCTCTAGCATTGTGCTTGATTGATCGTCTGGATCCATCAGGCACCTGAAAGCCTGGCTCAAAGGGGGGTGATAAATTACACCCGACCTGTTCAGCCCTTTTACTGCCTCATGCCGAGGTCTTGGTGCTGGGGCTGGTCTGAGGTAGCTGCCGTGCTGAGCACTAGAAAGAGGGTTACTACATCAGCACTCACCAGCCCGGCCTCCTTGGTCCTGAGGAACGTGGCCATAACCCCAGAGCCGGGCGGATCCTCAGAACTGCATGGCAGGGCTTTCCCAGGCCTGGATTTTTGCACCGATGTCGTACAACTCTCTAGTCACCTTTCGTACCAGGGCAGGCAGAACAGAGCTGTCCTAGTGCACCAACACCCATGCTGGGGGCAACGCTTGGAAATAGCCTCTGCAGCCTTTGCAACCCCGCCCTCCCCTTTCTCCCTTGGTGCCTTTGGCTCAGGTCAGCTGCTTGGAGTTTCTGGTGCCCAGCAGGATTAGCCCATGGCAGGATGGATCCCAAAGTGCTTTTTATTTCCCACAAGTGCTGGGGCTGGTCTGAGGTAGCTGCCGTGCTGAGCACTAGAAAGAGGGTTACTACATCAGCACTCACCAGCCCGGCCTCCTTGGTCCTGAGGAACGTGGCCATAACCCCAGAGCCGGGCGGATCCTCAGAACTGCATGGCAGGGCTTTCCCAGGCCTGGATTTTTGCACCGATGTCGTACAACTCTCTAGTCACCTTTCGTACCAGGGCAGGCAGAACAGAGCTGTCCTAGTGCACCAACACCCATGCTGGGGGCAACGCTTGGAAATAGCCTCTGCAGCCTTTGCAACCCCGCCCTCCCCTTTCTCCCTTGGTGCCTTTGGCTCAGGTCAGCTGCTTGGAGTTTCTGGTGCCCAGCAGGATTAGCCCATGGCAGGATGGATCCCAAAGTGCTTTTTGTTTCCCACAAACCCTTTAAATCCTGCTCCCTATTCCAAGTTGGAAACCGGGATGAATGAGTTCATTAAGGTGCCCAGATTGCCTTGCCCTGGGCATGGCTGTGGAGGCCTGGTCGGCTTTCCCCAGGAGTGGGCTTGGGAGGCCTTTCTAGCACATGCAAGGGCTGGGGCGTTCATGGGGCAAAGAGTGTTGAAGCCCAAGAACAAATCGATTCCCGCAGATAGCAGGGCACGGTAACCTGACACGGCTTCTCCCTCGGCTGTCAGTTTCAGTGCTCTCGTCACAGCTGAGCGAGCTGCGCAGTGAGCTGAAACAGAATCATTCCAGCAACGAGTTCAAACGTAAGCATTGGGCACTGCCCTCTGGCCCCTCCCCACAGCCCCTGACTCCTGCTTTGCTCTGCCTCTGTTGTGCCCTCCCTGCAGGGCCTCTTCTTCCCTTTGCCCCTGCTCTGCCCTCGCCCCTTCTGGCCACAGCTGTCACAGTGCAGGGTATCTGCTCGGTCTGCAGCGCTGAGGATCCTGCTTGGAAGGTCCCTAGGAGCAACTTTGGGGCTTTCCCCTGCTCACTTCATGCTGCCCCAGGGTTCCAGCTTCTGAACTTTTATTTGCGTTGGGGTCTGGGCCCAGCTTCCTTCTGTTAGTTAGAAGCAATCCTCCCCCCCCCCCCGCATGGTACCATGACTGGCCAGTTCCAGTGATAACTGCTGTGTCTGTAGGAAGCTGGATCCTTGCAGAGCGGGGTCCATGGTGTCATTGCCACAAGAGGCAGGATAGATCTGTCCCACTTGCTGTCTCTGGTTCACCTGCTCTCTTCCTTTTCCAGTGTTCCCATGCGGATCAGAGGCCCGGGAATGGGAATACTTCAGTGGCAAATGCTACTACTTCTCCTTGCGTGTGACATCTTGGGAGACATGGGGGCTGGGTGCTCACAAGTCCTGAGCTCAAGCCCTGATACTGACTCCCCACGTTCTTGTTCTTTGTCTTAGCAGCAGCAAAGAGCCCGTCTGAGATTCAATCGTGCTGGGTGCTGCATGGACAGAGGGCGAGCCAGCCCCTGTCCTGGGCCGTGCTGAGCACTAGAAAGAGGGTTACTACATCAGCACTCACCAGCCCGGCCTCCTTGGTCCTGAGGAACGTGGCCATAACCCCAGAGCCGGGCGGATCCTCAGAACTGCATGGCAGGGCTTTCCCAGGCCTGGACTTTTGCACCGATGTCGTACAACTCTCTAGTCACCTTTCGTACCAGGGCAGGCAGAACAGAGCTGTCCTAGTGCACCAACACCCATGCTGGGGGCAACGCTTGGAAATAGCCTCTGCAGCCTTTGCAACCCCGCCCTCCCCTTTCTCCCTTGGTGCCTTTGGCTCAGGTCAGCTGCTTGGAGTTTCTGGTGCCCAGCAGGATTAGCCCATGGCAGGATGGATCCCAAAGTGCTTTTTATTTCCCACAAACCCTTTAAATCCTGCTCCCTATTCCAAGTTGGAAACCGGGATGAATGAGTTCATTAAGGTGCCCAGATTGCCTTGCCCTGGGCATGGCTGTGGAGGCCTGGTCGGCTTTCCCCAGGAGTGGGCTTGGGAGGCCTTTCTAGCACATGCAAGGGCTGGGGCGTTCATGGGGCAAAGAGTGTTGAAGCCCAAGAACAAATCGATTCCCGCAGATAGCAGGGCACGGTAACCTGACACGGCTTCTCCCTCGGCTGTCAGTTTCAGTGCTCTCGTCACAGCTGAGCGAGCTGCGCAGTGAGCTGAAACAGAATCATTCCAGCAACGAGTTCAAACGTAAGCATTGGGCACTGCCCTCTGGCCCCTCCCCACAGCCCCTGACTCCTGCTTTGCTCTGCCTCTGTTGTGCCCTCCCTGCAGGGCCTCTTCTTCCCTTTGCCCCTGCTCTGCCCTCGCCCCTTCTGGCCACAGCTGTCACAGTGCAGGGTATCTGCTCGGTCTGCAGCGCTGAGGATCCTGCTTGGAAGGTCCCTAGGAGGAACTTTGGGGCTTTTCCTGCCTCTTCTGCTTTCCCCTGCTCACTTCGTGCTGCCCCAGGGTTCCAGCTTCTGAACTTTTATTTGCGTTGGGGTCTGGGCCCAGCTTCCTTCTGTTAGTTAGAACACACCCCCCCCCCCCCCCCGCATGGTACCATGACTGGCCAGTTCCAGTGATAACTGCTGTGTCTGTAGGAAGCTGGATCCTTGCAGAGCGGGGGCCATGGTGTCATTGCCACAAGAGGCAGGATAGATCTGTCCCACTTGCTGACTCTGGTTCACCTGCTCTCTTCCTTTTCCAGTGTTCCCATGCGGACCTGAGGCCCGGGAATGGGAATACTTCAGTGGCAAATGCTACTACTTCTCCTTGCGTGTGACATCTTGGCAGACGGCGAAAGCGCTGTGTGAGGAGAAGCATGCACAGCTGGCCATCATTAACAGCCACGCTAAGCAGGTAAAGACAACGAGTGCGTCTACACAGCACCCTTCGTTCAAAAGAAGCTACGCAATTTGTGCTACGCAAAATAACTCGCCATTCCAAAATGCCCCTTAACCCTCGTGGAATGAGGTTTAGTAGGATGTTGGAATAAGCTGCCCGTTATTTCAAAATCTACTTTGATATCATGGGCTGTTTCAATAGAAGCAAAATAGCTATTTCAGAGTACTTCTGGTATCTCGAAATAGCTCCAGAGTGGAGTCGTACCCAAAGAGAGTCAGGATGGAAAACCCCTGAACTCCTTTCTCATGGCTTACCTTCTCTCTGGGTGCCTCTGCCAGTCCCGAATCCTTAGCACTCCCAGAAAAGCAGCCGTGTTCCCTGGAGATCTCTGCAGGTTCCCAACGTCACACGTATAGCTCTGTTGTGGTGGCTAGTGGGAATTGACTGTGAGATCACCACCTCTGAAGCATAACTTGACATCAGCTGGTTAACCCACTACAAAGGCAATTTCCCCCCCTTTTGATATTCTTATTTACACATCAAAAGCTATGAATGGGTCACATCCAGCCTGACTCAATTAGTGTCATCAACACAGGTCTACAGTTGACAGGTAACTGCTTTTGCTGTTATATATACCCTGGATTCTGCAATTTCCACTCAACTTATTTGAGGAACTGGATTTTACCCACGAAAGCTCATGATCTAATCTGTTTGTGAGTCTCTAAAGTGCCATGGGCCCACTCTTTGTTGTTGGAGCTATGGGAGCAGCTCTGTTAGCAGCCATAGGCTCTGTGCTCTATGAGAGACCCTGGCATTGTTACAGTTCCTGTCCGGGTGTATGCAGTGGCACTGCCCTGTGGGGTGTGTTACCCAGAGAACAGACATAGCTCCCCGCTTCTGCTGTAATGCAAAGGAAGAGGAAAATAACAGTCCTAGCAAAGGAAATTATTTCCTGCACTCCCTTCCCCCTTCTGGCTGCAGAATTTTATCATGTACAGGACCCGTGACAAGCGCTTCTGGATCGGCCTCTCAGACCAGAACGCAGAAGGGGAGTGGAAATGGATCGACGGGAGCGACTCCACAGCCGGCTTCACGTGAGTGTGGGCCTGGTCATTGCTCTTCCTTCTTCAGTGGAAATGGCCTCTTGGAGTCTGTTGGGAGAGCCCCACGGTTTGGGGCTGGGCCGCATCGGGCCATGGGGAGCAGCTTGGGGTGCTGATCCAATGCTATGTGGCGGCTAAGGCTGATTGCTCTCACCACCCAAGGGCTGAGCCGAGTGTCCCCCGGAAACGCTGGCTTCAAGTCCCCATTGTGTGTGGCTCTGAGCCTGCTCTGCCCCCTGTCTGCAGGTACTGGAAAGAGGGGGAGCCCAGCGACAGCAACCACAATGAGGACTGTGCGCACGTCTGGACCTATGGGGAGTGGAACGATGTGCATTGCACCTACGAGTGCTACTACATCTGTGAAAAGCCTGTGCCTCTGTGAGCAGAGACCGGCCCAAAGCCAGCGCCCAGCCACGCTGTCCGGAACCTGCCCTGCTGCCAGCGCAGAGAGCGGGCGGCGCTGCCTCCTGGGAGAGGCTATAAACGTACAGATCTTGTTACTTTCCTCCCCTCCTCTGATCTTAATTGATATTCCCTTTACCTTTGGGTCCACTTCCTGGACCCAGAATGGACGCCCCGCCCTAAAAGCCTGCCTTTCTACAGCGGGAGACCTGAGCTGGCCAAAGAGTGTGGAAAAGTTGCTTTCTTAAAACCACCTTTTACAAATGAATTGTCAGAACATTCTGGGTCTTTGACTCCTCCTCTCTGTGATGCTAAATGAGGGGAAAAAAGGAGGAAAGCGTGAAAATTTTGATGCCAAAATTTTGGGTAAAAATTAATTTTGTGGATAAAGTGAAAACAAGTGATGAAGTTTTCAAAAATATTCAAACGTTTTCCAAATCTATTGCACCTGTTTTCATTTTTCACTCAGCTCTGACTGTAACAGACAGGCGTCCTCCCGGGGTTGGGCACGTGGGCAACGTCCCCAGAGTTGTGGGCCACTCGCGTGTGGATTGCTCGCTTGGGTACGTCTACCCGGCAGTGTTATTTCGGAATATTTGACGTTATTCCAAAATAACATAGTCTGTGTCTACACTACGAGCCTTTATTTCAAAATACTGGTGAGCTGGAGGACTTCTTGCTCCGCCTCCTGATAACTCTCATTTTACGAGGAGTGAGGGAGGTCGGAGGAAGAGCGCTCTTCCTTCAACTTCCTGCTGTGCAGACAGCGCCAAAAGCTGAACTAAGCTAATTTGACGTAAGCGACACAATTGACGTAGCTGAAGTTGCATCGCTTAATACAACTGTAGCCCTGCTGTGAAGACATACCCTTGGAAAGCCTACAGGAGAACAGTGCGCAGTGTCCGCTGAAAACCACGAGAGGGCACAGTGAGATCTGTGATCTGAGCCTTCCCCGTTTTAGCAGGTGGCATATTGAGAGCACAGGGCAAAGTTTGGTGCAGTCGGGGGAAAGTAGCCAAAGTAGGATCATTAACAGCAATTACAGATTTATCCCATGGCTGATTCCCTGCCCTCAGGGGGCCAGCCCCAGTCACTGGGAGCGGGCGGGCCGGAGCCATCTCTGCAAGCTCGGAGCATGGTGGGAGGGGATCTGGGGTTAGGGAGAGATTCTTTCCTCCTGTAGAGCTAGGTGTAGTGGCAGAGGGCAGTGAGTAATGGATCCCTGGCTGGCTGGGGCAGGGCCCTACAACTGTAAAGCTAATAGCCGCATCTGCTGCTCAGTTGGCTGCTGCGGATTTGTTAACTCCAAGCCCCATCAGTGCTGGAACAGCCCCCTCCTCTCCCCCCATCCACTGGCTGGGAGGGGTTTCC